TTTCAATCATTAAAATACATTTATTCATCCACTCAAGTGTTCAAATACATTTTTTTAACCTTGTAGTGGATGACACTTGATATTTATACGGTTTTTTCAAATATTAATTCAATAATTAAATTAAAAAATGAACAAATAGTCACAAACAAAAATAATAGTACAACATCATATATAGAAAGGAAAATCGTTTGTTGTGTCCCTGTATCGCAATAGATAGCGCGTCGTACTTCTAATCTAAATGTTGTGGGTTCGAATCTCACCTAGAATGGCCTAATTTCTGAGAATGTGATTTCTTTTTTACTAAACTATTTTATTAGAATAATTAAATTTAATTAATGAATATAAATAGTACGAAACAAACAAACAAAAAATAGTCCAACACTCTATATAGAAAGGAAAATCGCTTTCTATTTTGTCTCTTAATATTGCGATTCTGTCATATGTATATACATATTTATATTAATTGTAACTATTTAATAAAAAGGAACTAAGAAAAAATATTTCTTTGTTAACTGAAGTATGAATTGATTTAATTTTTTTTTTTTATATATATTACTCGTTTATCTTTATTGTTCTATGAATCATTTCGTTCAAACACGTCAAATCATCAGATGTTTAAACATCATCCTCTTTTATTTTTGTTGAGCAATCATTTTATTTTAGTTTTCGCAGAAATGGATTTTCTTGTGTGTTCGACTCTATGTACCTTAAAAAGTTTTTACTAGTAATTGAATGCCCACTGTAGCTTAGTGATTTTTTTTCAATTGGGTTGCATTTAGCACACAAGCCTTTGCAAATACGGCAAGTTCCCACATGTGAAAGCCGTTTCAAGGTGGCACCATCTAGTGGCAGCTTTCGCTACCAAATTTTGAAACTTGAATTAATTTTAATTTAAGCTTTTTTGCCAAATATTACCGTCGTTTAATTTTGCCGAGAATACCAGACCCAAATTGATATACTCAAGGGATCTTTTACATGCAACATTAACATATGACATGCGTTTCGCATCCAGAAAATCTATTGACTCCAGCCAGGATTGAACCTGCAACTTCAGAGGCGGGCATGCTATCACTAAGCCCCCCAGCCAACTTTCAGAAGTTATAGCAGTTCAAATTAAATTTTATTTGTAGTAATTTTGTCTAAGTAATAATGCAGCTCTGAAGAATTCAGTTTTATAGTAAGCAACGAAAAATTTACATAAGTATAAATGATTTAATCTTGTACAAAAATATGCATCATGAGAAAAATTCACAACTATTGCGATTACGATTTAACAAGTAATATAAAAAAAATATTATTTTAATTTCTACTTGGTCAACAAAGAAAAATTTTATTTTAGTTTCTTTTTATTAAATAGTTACAATTAATAGGTCAACTCAGCCTTTCATCCCTTCAGTGGGTCGATAAAATGAGTACCAAGCTTGCTTGGGGAATAAAACACTGGCGGTTTCCCTTCAGACTGACCTGATAGAGATATCTGCTCATGCACCTCAGCGCCCAATGGTCACGTATACTGAGATGTGCACAGTAGGTCCTGGCCCTCGTGGGCTGTTGCGCTACTGAGTTTGGGTTGAGTTGAGTTATAATTAATATAAACATGTATATACATAGGATACAATCACAATGCTAAATGCCAAAATAGAAAGCGGCTTTCCATTTCCCTTTCTAAATATGGTGTTGGATTATTTTTTTTTGTTACTATTTATTCATTAATCAAATTTAATTATTTTAATAAAATAGAAAGGTAAAAAAAAAAGAAAAAGAAATTATACATTCTCAGAAATAAGGCTATCCCGGGTGGGATTCCAACCCACGACTTTTGAATTGGAAGTCCAACGCGCAAGCCATTGCCCTACAGGGACACAACAAACGATTTTCCTTTCTATATAGGCTGTTGGACTATTATTTTTGTTTGTTTCTATTTATTTATTTTTTAATTTATTTAATGAATGAATGTTTGAAAAAAATTGTATTAAAATTAAGTGCCATCCACTACAAATTCAAAAAAATGTACACTCATGGACAAAAAAATTAGCGCACCAAAAAAAGGAGTCGTTAAAATGAAACGAAATTTTACATACGTAATGACTACTACGATATAAGTAAATGATTACAAAATCAAAGGAAAAGGAACATTTATTTCAGAGAAAAAGGCAAAAGAACGGAGGATTTAACACCCTGTTGAACCCCCTCTAGCGCGAATGCACGATGCGATACGATCCGGCATTAAGGCATACAAATTCTGTTTGATGTCTTGAGACATTTCGTTCCATATTTGCTGTAACCTTGCTTCTAGTTCGTTCAACTCGTACGATGCCCAACTCGCCGTCCCAACTGGTCCCAGATATGCTCGATCGGAAACAAATATGGGGATCGGGCAGGCCAAGGAAGGGTAGTAACAATTCGGAGACAATCTTGTGACACCCTTGCCGTGTGAGGCCGAGCATTGTCTTGTTGAAAAATGGCTCCTGGGAGCGTTGCATGAGTGGCAACACATGTGGTTGCAGGATGTCATGGGCATAAAGCTTTGCTGTCATGGGCGCCATGGATCAATACTAGGGGTGACCATGTATTGTAGGCAATGGCACCC